AAAAAAAAAAAAAACAAAACAAAAACAAAATCAACAACAACAAAAAAGATTAAAGGGGTAAATTGGGCACAGAGGCACACATCTGTAATCTCAGCTCTCCAGAGCAGAGGTAGGAAAATCAGTACAAGTTCAAGGCCATCCTGGGCTAAAAAGCAAAACCCTGTCTCTAAAAACTCAAATCAGTAAGGGGATAGTATTTAATTATTTCATCTGAACACAAAGTTTCAGGTTATGAATGGAGCCCAATGTGTCACATGCTCTCAAGTTGGTTAATTAAAAAGAAAAATGAACTTTGAACTATGGCTTTGTACTTCCGACACATGAACTTGAAGCTCCTCAAAGTTAAAAACTTTGTCTAAGACAGAGCGTAACAGAGCAGCGTCGGTCATTAATCCCAGCACTCAGGAGGCAGAGATAGGCAGAGGTGTGAGTCCAGGGCCAGCCTCGTCATGTTGTGAGCTTCAAGCCAACACAGTGAGACTCTGTCTTGAAAACAAAAATAATTGCCAGGCGGTGGTAGCACATGCCTAGTCTGGTCTACAGAGAGATAGGATAGCCAGAGCTACACAGGGAAATCCTGTCTCAAAACCAACCAAACAAACAAAATAACAGAAATAATTAAGAACTGGTCTAAGATTCCGAGCCCTATTGAGGGCTAGAACGTAAGCACAGTCAAGTGGACCTTGCTACACATACATGAAGTGTCTTATTATAAAGTGTCTCTGAGTATGTCCATATCCTCCTCGGGCACAATGGGACAAATCAGCTCAGAGTCTGGAGCCGGAACTGATCTCCGCCAAGAGCTCACCAGGAGCCAGCAGTGCCTCTGCTTCCTATTTGTTCCCAGGTCCCGTATTAGCAGCTTGCCTGTAGATCCTGCTTGCCCACATCTCAGGGTGTCACAGACGTGGAGCATGGAAAGCTTGCGATGATCTCCTTTCCAAAATGCCCAAAACTCCAGAGGAACCGGTGTGACTTCATCCCATGACATTAGGAGGGAGGTGAGAGGTGGATCCATGTCATAACAGATGGGAAATGGCACCGTCTTCCGCTTCCCCCTTCCACCGGTTATACACTCCAGACAGTTTGCTGTTAACATGGATTTTTCTCCTTTGTATCCCGTAGTTATAGCACACCAGCTCAATGCAGGTCACAGCATTAACTATGCATGTAATTTTTAAATCGCCTAAGGATAGACAGATGGGTGCAAATTAGGTATACATCCCATACCAAGCAAGCTGTTTTTATTGACTGCTTTACTGGTGGTGCAATCTAAACAGAAAATTCTAAGGGTTTTGGTGCCATTTGCTTACCAGGTAAGTATGAATGGCTTGCCTGCCGAAGGCCAGGAACCATGCTTGAGCACTTCGCAGGTACACCACAACCTCCATCTCTTCTTTTGAGAATTTTATAAGCCCATGGATACAGTGAGCACTGAGCAAGGCCACAGTACCGGCAAGTGCATTCAATTCTAACATGGTAGGATGCTGTGAGGGTGTTTTCCGGGACCTGAGTTACCTGGAAATACAGGGAGGCTTCCTTTGGGAGACTACACGGACGTGGAGTCAGACTGCCATCTGCTTGGGCTTGTGGACCTGCGTTCACGTAGTTCTGACACGTGGACAGATTGCTCTCTCTCTCTGTGTGCCCTCCTGTGTAAAGAGGCAAATTCACAATTGGCAGCATGCTGTAGAAATGAAAGGTAGCACGGTTAGAGCTTCTCTTGGGGTATCAGGTACACACACACACACACACACACACACACACACACACACACGCACGCGCACGCACACACGCACACACCAAGCTTAAGCACTTGGTGTTTCCCATCATTCTATACTGGTGTAAATGACAAGGGAAAAACTAAAGAAAAGTTGAAGCACCAGCAAGAGATAAACGCATGGGGGAATTTGCTTCGAATTCCAAGGATGGTTAGTTGCACTGGGGTGGGGGTGGGGTGGGGGTGTTTTAGCTGTCGACCACCTAGGAGCATCTTATACTCTTGGGCTCTCCCAAGTACTGTTTTCATGAGTTGTTTTTTTTTTTTAAAGAAGAAGAAGAAAAAGAAAATTGAGGGCTGATTTCTAGCTGCGGTTCAGCCGAGGCTCGGATCAGATTTTCAAGCGACCGTGGGATACCTGAGAAGCGGATCCCGGCAGAGGACACTCTAGGTTAGCCAGACTTGGGCAGGCTCAAGTGACAAGTGTTTTAAGGCAGATGGGAGCGGGGTTAAGGGTCGGCTGAATCCTCAACCGGGGCTTTTAATTCAGGGTTGAGTCCCGGCGCTAACTGAAAAGGACCTAGAAGAGGGGACGGTGTGGCAGGACATCAGGAGGCTGGGTCCAACCCCCGCGCGGCTCCGGGGCGTTCCCTCCCCAGGCCTCCCAGGATCTTGGATTCTGGCCACCTCCGCACCCTTCGGATGGGTGTGGATATTTTCAAAAGTGGACGTGACCGCCGCCGCAGAGGGGGAAGTCAGCACGGAAATGGGAGAGAGCTCGGAGGGGAGGGCGGGGAGAAGAGGGCGCTAGGGGAGGGACGCAGGGGAGGAGTGGGAGGGTTCGGAGCCCGGGCGCCGGAGGCCGAGCGGGCCGGGTACCCGGGGCTGGAGCTCTCACGGCGGCGCCGGTCCAGGCAGGTGAGATGCGGCGGCGGCGGCTGCTGCTGCTGCTGCTGCTGTGGCTCTGCGGGCCGCTCGGTGCCCTGGCCCAGGACGCCCCAGCGGGGACAGCTCAGGCGGAGGACGTGGTGGACCTGGAGTTTTCCACCCAGCAGCCGCTCCATCTCGTGAGTCCCTCGTTCCTGTCCGTGACCATCGACGCCAACCTGGCCACTGACCCGCGGTTCCTCACCTTCCTGGGGTAAGTGCAGCGCCCGGTCCCCTCTCCTGTCCTCTCACGCTCGCGAGGGCCAGCCACTCTCTTTGCTGAAACAACTTTGCGTTTGGTCTCCCCGAGCCCGAGCCTCCGTCTCATATACAGCCAACCCCCAAAAAGCTTTTTCCTGTCTCATTTACTCAGCGCTTGTTGCCTGGGCACCAGCCAAGCCCAGGTTAAGAGGAGCTTTGGAGGAAAAAAAAAACAAAAACCCAAAGCTGTCACACAGCCCAGCACTTCAGATGGAGCCTTTGAATTTGCTTCAGTAGAGGACCAGTACGCTGGTGTCCTTTAAACTCTGTTAGGAATTTTAGATTAAAAAAGGAAGAAGAAGGCCGGGCGGTGGTGGCGCACGCCTTTAATCCCAGCACTCGGGAGGCAGAGACAGGCGGATCTCTGTGAGTTCGAGGCCAGCCTGGGCTACCAAGTGAGTCCCAGGAAAGGCGCAAAGCTACACAGAGAAACCCTGTCTCGAAAAACCAAAAAAAAAAAAAAAAAAAAAAAAAAAAAAAAAAAAAAAAGGAAGAAGAAGAAGAATGGAAGAAAAGTCAGATAGAAAAGGCCTCAATGGAGAACAACCATCGCTCATCTTGCTGCTTTTTCAGCATCTAAATATAAGGGCACTGGGTGTACCTCAGTTTGATGGAGTTTGAGGCCAGGCTGGACCAAACCAGGGGGAGCGGGGACAGTAGAAGTAGGAAGGAGAGAGGCTAGAGGCTATATACCACCGTGCCTGGGATTGGGGGGTGCCTGTGGTGCCTGTGATCCCGGCACTCGGGAACTGGAGGTAGGAGGATCAGGAGTGTGAAGCCATCTTTGGCAACACAGCAAGTGTGAGGCCAGACTGGCCTAAATGGGGGGCGGCGGGGGGGGGGGGCGGGGGGAGGACGGGTAAGAGAGAGGAGTTGGAGACTCAGACTAATTGGGAAAATTAGGGATCAGTGGGAGGGTACAAGAGAGGGCAATGGGGGTAAATACAATCAAAATATTTTTATACACGTTCGAAAATGTCATGATGAAACCCATTATTATCTATAATTAATATATGCTAATAAACCTTTGGATAAGCATATGTTTCTCCAAGATGAGGGTGCAGACTGGACGCTGCTTCATCAGCGGCACGGTTTCCCCTTCTCCCGAGGAAACGCATCTACTGCTCCTGCTCCGTGAGTGCAGACTGTCCCCAAGATGAAGGACTCCAGGCACAGTCCCAGGTCATCTAAACCGTGGAAGCCTCCAGAGATGAGCAAGTCTTTTGTTGTTTTGAGACATTGTGTAACCATTAGCTCAGGCCAGCCTTGAACTCATGATCTCCCTGCCTCAGCCTCTTGAATGCCACCACACTTACTGGACACTACATCTTTACCAGCCCTTTATGTCACCACTGTCGAAGGCGTAGACATCGATCACACGTCCCGTGCCCACACTATCAGGTGTAATCTGCTGATTTCACAGAGTCCCACAGCTAAGAGTTTGACAGTCCAAACACCCTGGTTTTCTCAAGTGCGACTCATGGGATTTGTATGATGATTTGACGAGATAATAAGCACTTACTACAATGTTTGACGGTTAAGCTAATTGTTTCTTCTTGCCTAGCACACACAAAGTCCTGGGGTCAGTCCTCAGCGTTGCATACAGTTAGGCGTGGCGGCTCATGACTCTTTCACCAGCACTCAGAAGCAAACGGAGGAGGATCAGAAGTTCAAGATCATCTCTCAGCTGCATAGCAAGGCCGGCCTGGGCTGTGTTAGACTTTGTCTTTAAAAAATAAATTTAGGGGCCAAGTGTGATGGCAAATACCTTTAATCCCAGCATTTGGGAGGCAACAGTGAAGAAGTTGAGGTTATGGGAGGAGGTCAATCAGCTAGCAAATAAAAGCAGTATTTGAAGGCAGACTCTGATCCAAAGACAAAGGCATCCAAAAAGAAAACAAGCCAGTGGTTATGTTTTAAAGGACACACTGCAGAGTATATTAGGAAAAAACTGTCTAGAAACAAATTGATAGAAAAGGGTTTTTTTTGTTGTTTGTTTGTTTTTAAAAAACAAACAAAGAAAAAAAACTGCCATTAATATACAGGTAGGCAACTTGGGGCCCAAACCTCAGAGGTGCCTCCAAGGAGGGCTAAACAAATGAACTGGGGTGGTCTGATTCGGTTACAGGCACTAGATGAATAGGAACAGGTCTCTCTCACATTTGTAACCAGAGAACAGACAGTACAGAAAATTTAAATGTTAATCTTAGAAGGCTGTAGAATTGAAAGGAACATCTGTTAAATTTCTCTTCCCTGGGGAAATTAGTCAGAATATATTCTCAGCCTGGATTAGTGAAGAATACCAAAGAGACCCCAGTCCTAGAAACAACATGAATTATGATGGGAGCCTCATATACAAGGAACAAGTGTAATTTTAAAACTCTTTGGTAAACACATTTTACAAAAAGCAAAAAAGCTCAGCATGATTGCTAGCTATAACCCTAACACTTGGGAAGCAGAAACTAAAGGATCACATGTTCAAGGCTAGCCTGGGCTACATATCAAAGCCCTGTCTCAAATAGCGTTAAAACAACAAAAAGTAAACATAAACAGTCGGAAGAAGCGTGTGGATGCTAACGTTTGGCAGTGCTGGAGAGAAGAGTCCAGGGTCTTGCACACTAAGCAGCTTGCTCTGCCACTGAACTGCACCCTCTGCCCAATATAAAAAGAGTAACGAGATAGTTCCCCGTCCCTTTCTGAAATCGTGCCTCTAAAATCTCGTCGTTTATGTTTACAGCACGTCTCAGCTCAGTCCAACGACATTTCCAGTGCCCAGCAGCTAGTAGCTATTGTAAGAGACAGTGCAGCTTGACTTGAAATAAGACATATGTGTACACAGCCACAGTTTCCTCATTAAGACAATACAGTGTGGAGGATCGTTAGAAATCCCAAGTTCTACAGGGCAAAAGTGGCACTGAACAACTGTCATAGTTAGGGTTTCTATTGCTGCAATGAAACACCATGACCAAAAATCAAGTTGGGGAGCGTGGTAGTTTGAATGAAACTGGCCCCCATAATCTCAAAGGAGTGGCACTGTTGGGAGGCGTGGCCTTGTTGGAGGAAGTCTGTCACTGTGGGGACAGGCTTTGAGGTTTCCTATGCTCAGGATGCCATCCAGTGTCTCAGCTGACTTCCTGTTGCCTGCAAGATGTAGGACTCTTAGCTATTACTCCAGTACCACATCTGCCTGCATGGTGCCATGCTCCGTCATGATGATAATGGACTGAACCTCTGAAACTATGAGTGAGCCACCTCAATGAAATGTTTTCTTTCTAAGAGTTGCCATGGTCATGGTGTCTCTTCACAGCAATAAAAATCCTAACTAAGAGAGAGAGGGAAAGTACTTGGCTTGCACTTCCAGATCATAGTCCATCATTGGAGGGAATCAGAACAGGAACTGAAACATGGCAGGATCCTGGAGACAGGAGCTGATGCTGAGGCCATGGAAGGGTGCTACTTACTGGCTTACTTCCCATGGTTTGCTCAGCCTTGCTTTCTTATAGGACCACCAGCCCAGGGATGGCACCGCCCACCATGGGCTGGGCCCTCCCCCATGGATCACTAATTGAGAAAATGCCTTATAGCTGGATCTCATGGAGGCATTTCCTCAGCTGAGGTTCTTCCTCTCTGATGACTCTAGCTTGTGTTGACACAAAACGAGCCAGGACAACAAAGCAAAAAAATGTGGTTTTTGCTTGCTTTCCATAGTAATTTGCTTCTCTTTCTTCAGTAAACATTATTTTTTGCAATTTCAATAACCATTTGTGGTGTTTGAAAGAAAATGGGCCCCAAAGGAAGTGGCACTATTAGGAGGTGTGGCCTTGCTGGAGTAGGTATGGTCTTGGAGGAAGTGTGTCACTGTGGGGATGGGCTTTGAGGTTTTTTATGCACAAGCTACTCCCAGTAAAACAATCCACTTCCTGTTGTCTTCTGATAATGATAGCCAGCACCATGTCTGCCTGCACGCTGCCATGCTCCCCACCATAATGATCATGGACTGAACCTCTGAACTGTAAGCCACCACTTCAATTAAATGTTTTTCTTTGTAAAAGTTGCCGTGGTTGTGATGTCTCTTCACAGCAATAGAAACCCTAACTCAGACACCATTCATTAATAATTTTAATAGTTAAATTCCCACATCTTTATTGACAGCTCCTTTCTGTATTGGAGAATCATTTGTTACCAATACGAAGTTCGTGCATTAATAGCTGGTTGTGTTGGTTACTTTTCTGTGGCTGTGACAAAATACCACAACCAAAGGCAAGGTGAGGAAGCAAAGGGTTGTTTGCACTTACTGTTTCAGAGAGAGTCCATGATGGCCGAGGAGGAATGGCGGGCGGCCGGTGGCCAGAAGAGGAAGTAACACAACGCAAAAAGAGCTTCTAGAAGTGGGTGTGGCTAGGCGCTCTCAAAGCCCACCCCAGTGACATACTTCCTTTAGCTAGGCTTTACCTTAAAACTCTTCAAACAATACCATCTTCTGGGGACCGCATGTTCAAACAAGTGCGCCCATGTGGGACATTTCTCATTCACACTACCAGACCCACAGTGCCCAGGGCCACAGGTCCCCTGTCTGTTTCTGAGAGAAATGATCTGACTGGAGAGAGACAAAGAACTGAGAGCATCCCAGGCCTGATCCCTGGGAAGTTCTGTCCCCTGATGGACCCGTTGGTGTCCCCTTCCATCCCAAGCCATTCCGACATGCTCCCTGGAGCCTTGAGCGTGGTAACCCTGCTATCATTCTCACAGAGTATTCCTTTACCCCTGTGCCCTAGCTGATGGGAGACACTTCCCTGAAGTGTTGAGTATGAGTTTTGCGCTCTCTCATACCCCATTCCCGTGCCTGCTACTCCTAGACAGTGGTTCCTCGGTCTGCATGCAGACTGTTGCAGTTCACATCCCCCTCGGCTTGTTAGCTCTGGTGAGTTAGTTTAGCTCCTTTTTGTTTAGGTTCCGTGTTTATAAAGTGAGACTAATAATGGCACTCACATCCTTGTGATGTTAGGAGACTAAGTGGGAAAAAAAAAATCCTTCCAATCTGCCGAAAGCAATGGATGAAATTGGTGTGTACTAGAGATGGTTGTGGTAATACCAGTGTGTGGTCCCCTCCAGCTCTCCTTCCATCCTGTCATTCACTCTGTTCCCCTAGTCCCCATCTTGATTAAAATCTGGTGCAGCTCTCAGTCCCAAGTCCTGATATCTTAGGTGACATCAAGTTTACCTGAAAAAACAAGTCTCTCAATTTCTCCATCCTTGACCTCTCAGGTAATGGTTACTCAGTTGTTGGGCCAGTTTGCATCCCCACCAGGAGCTGTGTGCATTTCTTCTCAACGCCACATTCTGTGGCATCACACTGTTACACCTTGGAAACAGCGACAGTGGAGATATTTACACCGTGGAAATTGGCAAGCACTGAGAACCAGGGTGCTTTTGTGCTGACGGTTGGTTGTTAGCACATGCCGCTCTACTCCATTTTAACCTGCAAGCATCGTGACAGTGTCTTGACTCTCTTCCTCTCCGGCAACTTCATTTCTGTATGTGAAAACTTAAAATTCCAACTTCATGCTCTTGGATCACAACTCCATGCCTTCTCAGCTCCTTCACGTTATAGCAAAAGTCAATTCTGAACATGCCTGCATTTTAAAAAGCACCTCCCTGAGTAGTTGCATCCTCTCTCTACTTCTTCCATATTTGAGCTTTTAGGTTTATCATCCAAACCATTCTGGGATAATGGCCTCTGCTTCTGCCTCATTGCTCTTACTGAAATGCCAACTGTCACTTGGTCCAATCTTATTTCCTTCTCTGGAATCTCTGGGGTGGCCCTTAAATCTGGAAATGGAAATATAATAGCATTTAGTGCATATTAATAAACCACCTCTGCTCTGTGTCAAAGATAAACAATATATTTTTGCCCTAAAGGTAATATAAAAACACCTGCAGACTGTTTTGTGTGTTGTGTTTTTTCCTTGACAGCCTCCTCTGGAAAGGGAACAGCTGCAGCTGCTTTACACATCTTTTATTTCCATGACACTGTGTGGCGGGCATTTCCCCTTTCTCCTGCATATGACTGAAATGCCGTGCCTTTGATCAATTTTGTTTTTATGGCAAGTTTTGCAGCTGTGTTAAATTGTTTTGTTTTTTTTTTTTTTTTGGTCAGAGGACATCAATATTGTATTCTAAAAACACAAAAGATACTTTACTGCAAAGGAGACAAACAAAAGGTCCTTCCTAGCAAAACTCTGAGACATATGACTTGCTTTATATGGCAATGGCCATAGCAATGAGTTTTAATGTCATCTTGTTTTAAGAAAAAAAAAAAAAAAAAAACGGTCCTTGGTTGGCCTTCCCTTGCCCTTTCTCAGGCTGGCTTGCTTTGTTCGTTCATTTAACAAATATTGGCTGAGCATCCCTGTGTGCCAGGCATTCATCTAGGCACTGGGAAGAATCTGATAGAGCAGACAAGGTCTCTGCTCTCAGGGAGCCAGTACCAGGGGCAGCGGCTGGGAGAGGCAGACTAGTGAGACATCTGAGGATGCTGATTTCAGAGAGTGGGAAATCCTCCACAGGACATGAGGCAGGTTGGGTTGATGGAGAACAACCCATGATGCTGTGGTCCATACCTCTGGGGCCACATGTATCTGACCCGGGCCATCATTTGGTACCACAGCTCCTTTCCCCGCCAATTCCCAAAGGACACCAAATCTTGACCGGTCTCAATTACTTACAGATAGTAGTTACATACATCTAAATGGATCTCCTCTGTCATCCAACAAAATAGAAATGCCAAGGACCAGAACCAGTGCCTGGCCCAAGTCAGTGGGATGGTATGAGGCCTGAGGGACTCTGAGTAAGTCCTTGACATGAACTTCTGGGCTGTACATTGGCATTCATGGGCTGCGAGGCTATTATGTTTTGTCTTCATTGAGACATTTGTTCATAATTGCCATATTGAAATACTTGTCTTGCACTTCAGCTAAATTGCTTTTTTTAGCACATATCAGAAGAGGGTGCTGGTTTCCATAGGAGGCATGTTGTCTTGGTTGTTCGTGTTTCTGTTTCTGCACTGGGATCTAGGCATCTGGAGCTGTGACATTCGTGTGTTTCTTTGTGTAGATAATCTGGTCTCCCCTTCGCGGCATGGGTGTTTGGTTGTTTGGTTGCTGTTACTCTAATCTGGCAGGTTGTGGACCAGCAGAGTCACACTGGGTTTTCAGTCTGAAGCCACTCGGGTTTCTGTGTTCGGACTCTAACTGGTCTCGGATCTGAAGTTCTGGTTGGAACTCTGGGTTCATACTCCGCGCAGTCCCAGATCAGTGAAGAGGGTGGGGTGGGATGGGCTATCAGTGGGAGAAGGGGACTGACGCTGGAGGTCTCAAGTGGGCTGTGAGGTCTGACTCTACCAAAGGGATGCAGATGGGCTGGGAGTGGGGGTGAGGTGGGTAACAGTGTTGGGACTAGGGGTGCTCCGGAGATGTCAGAACAGAGGAGGGAAAGAAGAGCACAGGCAGGTAGGTACCCGGGTCCCTGCCAAGTGTAGTCAGTGGCTGTGGGGTTCCTAGGGGACATCAGGTCTACAGTCTAAGTGTGACTGGTCATCGACTCTATACTGAGGAGTCCCCTCCCCAAGCCTAGACGTACTTCTCGAGTTCCAGTCACATGTGGCCTGTGGATCTGTGGGTTCAGTGTCCAGTTACGTATTAGTTCTGTCAGCTGCTGGACAAATGCCTGACAGCCACTTCAGGGTGGAAAGGATTGTTTTGGTGTGCTGTTCGTCACCCCAGGGAGGCCGCAGGAGCCCGAGGCAGCTGGTCCCACGGCATCTGCACAGAGAGAAGAGGGATGAATGTTCACTTTCTCCCTTTTATTCAATCTGGGGCCCCAGCCCATGGGTGGTGTCACCAACACTGAGGGCAGATCTTACTTCCTCCATTAAACTTCTCTGGAAACACACTCATAGGCATACCTAGAGATGTGTTTCCATGGTGATTATAAATAGAGGCGAGATGACATTGAAGGATTAGCCACTGTAGTTGGCATCTCAGTTTCTACAGATTCTTCCACCCCGTTTTCAAACTTGTGACCTGGTTCCCCATCTCAGCAGGTGACGGTGCTGTCTTCCAAGGCTCTTCCCGAAACTTACCCTTGACTCTTCTGAGCCAGTCGGTCACTGAATCTTTTATTTCTGTGGACAACTAGGTCTTGAACTGTTTACCTCTCTCTACCCCACTGGGGCGGCTAGCGGCTAGAAGTTAAGGAGCAGGTCCACCAAGAGAGAAGGAAGTGAAGATGTTTAACTGAGCTTTCTCAGAAAAATGACAAGCTGGAATGGTGGTGCATGCCTATAATCTCAGCATTCTGGCACCAAGGCAGAGGGATTCCAAGTTTGAGGCAAGCCTGGGCTACATAGTAAGATGTATTAAAAAACTAAAATGATAATAATAATAATTATTATTATTATACTTTCTTATTTGTCTTCACAACAGCTCTCCAAGGCTTCGGACTTTAGCCCGAGGTTTATCTCCTGCATACTTGAGATTTGGTGGAACCAAGACAGACTTCCTTATTTTTGATCCCAAGAAGGAACCAACTTTGGAAGAAAGAAGTTACTGGCAATCTCAAGTCAACCATGGTAAACCCTTGAAAAGATTATATATCATAGTTAACCTGTACCAGTCATGAGAATGTTTAGAGAAAAGTGTTATTGCTCAGACCTGACCATTAGACAGGTAGAGGACCCAAGGGGAACGAGGAAACTGTGGGTGGCTTTCCTCCTCTGATGATTTCATAACTATGGAGCCTTCCAGAAGAGCGTACTGGGCAGGACTGGGAGTTATAAACAAACAGTGCTGGTCACTGAAAATAGCGGGTTGGAGGGAACACATGGGTAGAAACAGGGTCAGATTGGAGAGTATTTATAGGTAACAACACAGCAATAGACTGAAGCCCATGATTATGTAAGGAGAATGGAAGAAAGGTCGAACAAAGGAACCCAGGAGAAAACTTTCACTTGAGCATGGTTTGATTCACCGGGTGCTGGGTCTCAACTTCACTGACTGTCCCTATTGCCAAGGTGAGTTTGAGTGGTGGGGTCTCAGGGATCCAACCCTAGACTCTGTCCTTAGCAAGCTTTCAGATGGTTCTAACATGGGCAGTGTGTGGACCTCACCTGAGACCCCTGCCCTTTGCTGGTCCAAGACCTTCAGAAGTGCCGTGTGATATCAGATGTCTGCTAAACCGTTATCTGAAGAATTGTGAGATATTTGTGTACTTCTTCACGCCTTAAGAGCGTGTGTATTCTGTCTATGTTAGCGACGAGCATTTAGTTAGTTCGTACATTACATATTCCTTTCGACTCACTTTCTCCAGTGAGAAAGTGTTCAGAGCAGTTAGTCAGGATTGGTCCCAAACCGGAAGTGTGGTGAGTAGGAAAAAGCAGAAGGAAGACACAAGGGCCTCTTTAATAGTAAGGGAGTTTGCTCAGCCTGCTCCTGCCCACCAGACACAGCCAGCCTGATCCTTTTTTTTTGGCCACTTGGCCATTTTCTGCATTTATAATCTAAGTTTAGATGGGACACCTGTCTTTGCACCTCACTTTTCCTCATCCTGGAGCAGGTGAGGGGCTCCCTGGGATCCCCAAAGCTCCTCTGAGACACCCTTTGTGAGCACTGGGAGAGAAAAGAGACTCTCTGTCAGCCAGTCACAGGGCGGCTTCCCAGAAAGGAAGTCATCAGCCAGTCCCAGCTGGTTCTGCCAGCAAGCACCCCTGTTGTGATAAAACAGTGCAGGTTTCCTGGGAGGAGCGTGGGGGTGGCTCCCAGGCACACCCCGTGGTTCCAGAAGTTTGGACAGTACCAGCCTTCAAGGGAGAACAGTCAGTAATTTACCAGTTTGGACTCATTAGCTCTAATTCATCACAGAAGAAGTCACTACAAAGCAAATACCATCCAGGTATAGCATCTTTCTATGTGTTTTGATTTTTTTTTAATGTGTACGGGCATTTTGCCTACATGTAAGTATGTTCACCATATGTGTGCCTGGTGCTTGAGGAGGTCAGAGATGGGGTTGGGTCCCCTGGAATTGGAGTTACAGACAACTGTGAGTCACCAAGTGGGTCCTGGGATTTGAACCCAGGTCTTCTGCAAGAGCACCAAGTGCTCTTAACTGCTAAGACACCTCTCCAACCTTGCTTTGTTTTGTTTTTAAGGCAGAGTCTTGCTGTGTAGCCAAAGCTGGCCTCAGATTGGTGCCAATCCTCCTGCCACAGCATCCCACGTGCCGAGATGCCAAGTGTGTGCCACCACAGCCAGCTGTGTTTTGAAAACAAGCTTTCATTTTTTAGCTGAATTCGGACCTCTCCATCCAATTCTCTCTGATAAGTTTAAGCTACTGAGGGGATCTCCAAATTAGTAAACCATTTGAAATCATGCCCAGTGCTCCATGTCAGTATACACCCATGTTTCTTTCTTTCTTTTTTTTTTTTGGTTTTGTTTGTTTGTTTGTTTGTTTGTTTGTTTGTTTGTTTGTTTTGAGACAGGGTTTCTCTGTGTACTTTTGGTGCCTTTCCTGGAACTCGCTCTGTAGACCAGGCTAGCCTTGAACTCACAGAGATCCGTCTGGCTCTGCCTCCTGAGTGCTGGGATTAAAAGTGTGTGCCACCACCGCCTGCACCCAATGTTTCTTAAGGAAATTGCCCTCTGGTTGTTTTCTTGGTAGCCATGAACTAGCCTACAAATTTGGCACATGTAACAATACAACTTTCTCTGGTCTTGTACTTAATAACCAGAAACTTAACCACCTCCTTCAGCTACCTAACAGCTGACTAAACGTCCAGGCTGGGTTTCAACCTTGTCACTGTGAAAATGGTGACCCTGAGCGCTCTCTTCCTCTTGCAGACGTTTGCCGGTCTGAGCCCGTCTCTGCTGACGTGATGAGGAGACTCCAGGTGGAATGGCCCTTCCTGGAGCTGTTGCTGCTCAAAGAACAGTACCAAAGAGAGTACAAGAACAGCACCTACTCACGTAAGAAACCAAGCGCCTGCCGGGGTTCTAGCCACAGGCCTGTCGGAGGGCCCGCACTCGGGCTTTACTGACTCCTGCAGCAGTGTATAAAGCTGTGCAGTACTTCAGTACTATTGAGAGAGAACGAGGAGCCGGGGAGCCGGGGGAGAGGATATGGCTCAATTGGTAAGGTGCCTGCCACCCAAGCTGAGGATCCCCAGAATCCCCAGCTTTCTCATAAAAACTGAGTGTGTGTTTTTATGTGAGTGAGCTCAGGACTGAGACAGGTGGATCCCCTGAACTGACTGGCCAGCTACTCTGGTCAGATAGTGAGTTTCAGGTTCAGTGAGAGACTGTATCTCAGAAAACTAAAGCTGGGGCTGTCATCGTTAAGAGCCGTTAAGGTGGCTCAGTGGTTAAGACACTGGCTGCTCTTCCGGAGAACTGGGGTTTGATACCCAGCACCCACATGGGTCATCAGAGTTTTCCCAGGGGCCTGCCCTGAGAAAATCCTTCCCAGAGTCCTGGGGAAGGTGCTATGTCCAGCATGGGGTTATCTGAGGGAAAAGAATCGATGTACACCAGTTTCTTACGTCCGCTTACTTTATTTCTCTATGACAAACTTCTATCTACACAGCCCCAGTTCTACCCCGACACTCAGTTCCTCTCTGTCCCTTCGTTTTCTGTCCTCTCGTAGCCCTGACTAAGCTCTTACGCTTTCCCTCTCATTTCTCCAGTTTCTCATTTCTTCTCTTCCTACTCTCGTGACCTGACCCAATCCTTATTCTCTACAAAAGATCTGCCTTGTTCCTTTCTCTCCGGTCATGTGACTCTGCCCTACCATCTCCAGAAACTCTCTGCTTGTTCTCTGGCCACATGACTCTGCCTGACCAGGAATTCTGCCTCCCTTCACTCACACCTGGCTATGCAAAAAACCCTTTGTTCTGAGTCAAATGTTCCCGAATGCCATTTGGCCAGTCTGGGGAAGGAAAGTCTGAGCTTCATTTGCACAAGAAACAAAGCTATGCATCTACAGTCTGCCTGTCCCCTAGGCTCTGTAGGGGTGTTACCTAGTAGATCAGCAGTAGGTCTGGGAAGCTTATACTTTTTGCCTTTAAGGCCTAGTAGTATATGAGTGCACAAGAAATTCATAGCAGAAGACAGCTGATATATTAAAAACTGAATATCATCAAATATTCCTTGATATTTGACTTTCCTCTTGAAGAATTTCCTTGACCCTTCTAGGTATAGCTTTATTATATACAGCTGAATCTCTATTACATATACTTGTGGCCCACAGCAATGGGTGACTCACAACTGTCTGTAACTCCAGTTCCAGGGGACCTGACACCCTTTTCTACCCATGTGGATACCAGGCACCCATATGGTGCACATACATACATTCAGACAAAACACATATACACATAAAGTAAATAATTTTTTTACTGTTTTATTTGCTGTTATTTGTGATGGGTGGTAGCAATTTAAAAAAAAAAACCCTAAGTGGATGAAAAACAGAGAAAGGCACTCAATGTCAACCTCTGACCTCCATAAGCATGTGCATACACATACACTACACACATGAACACACTTGCATGTACATACACAGAGTTAAGGAGAGAGGCTGGCATGTAGCTCAGTGCTAGAGCACACTGAGCATGTGTGAGGCTCTGGCTTTAATAACCAGCATCAAGAGAAGAAGAAAATTCATGAAAGACCTTGAACCCAAAGCTTGTGTGGCTTTTTCCTTGACTTATGACTTTGTCAGCCGGCCACAGAGTGGGATTCAGAATGGGAGTTGAGACGTGAATATAGTCTTCATACAAAAGTAAAAACCAGAAGTGTAACATATAAAACTCACCCGCACTTCCTCGCTCTTCTGTTTCTCCTTTCAGAAGTGTGGAAAATCCCCCATGGGTTGAAAATCCTGAATCTGAAAGTCCAAAATTTGAAATCCTCCAAAATCCACTGTTTTGAGTCTTAGTTGAATTAGAGATGTGCAGTTGGTAAAGATTACAATACTCTCAAATCGAAACACATGTAGATTGTAAAACTCTCTGGATCCAAACATTCCAGATAAATATTTGACCTATCTGTGTTAAGATCAACCATGTGAGTCTGTTTAATGGGCAATAGGGATTTATTAAGATATCAATTGAGAGCCGGGCGGTGGTGGCGCACGCCTTTAATCCCAGCACTCGGGAGGCAGAGCCAGGCGGATCTCTGTGAGTTCGAGGCCAGCCTGGGCTACCAAGTGAGTTCCAGGAAAGGCGCAAAGCTACACAGAGAAACCCTGTCTCGAAAAACCAAAAAAAAAAAAAAAAGATATCAATTGAGGAAATACACTCATGAATACAGAACGGAGTAAACAGCTGAAGTTGTCCTCTGATCTGACTGGAAGCAAATCCACCTGGCAGTTTGATCACAAAATCCTGCCTAGCCATTGGCCAATCAGCTTTTCATTAACAATGAGAGCAATACATACTTAAAATATACAAGACTGTTCCACAGCACTCCTGTTCTGATCTGTGAGAAAGGTGAACCTACATGACTCCGGTGGCAGATTTCTGATCCAGAGAACTTTCTACATCGCTCTTTGAAATATGCAAGTGATCATGGGTGTAATTACTGCAATTGAGGTACAGGGTTGGGTGCCACGAACCCACCATAGAGTAGCTCAAACCAACAGGCTGCCGCTAACTTGAGAGAGACAACTAGGAAGCTGTTTTTAGCTCCGTTTTAGAATCTTTTTTCTCAGGTTTTAAGTGGAAACTCTTGCCCCATGTTGGGCACCATTTGTAGCTAGAGTTTTCCTGCCTTGCCCACAGTCAGGACAAATCTCTGTCACTCACCAGTCCCACGACTGCTCAGACCCAACCAAGTAAACACAAAGACTTATATTGCTTACAAACCATATGGCCGTGGCAGGCTTCTTGCTAACTGTTCTTATAGCTTAAATTAACTCATTTCTATTAATCTATAAGTTGCCACGTGGTTCGTGGCTTACTGGCATCTTAACATCTTCTCATGGCGGCAGCTGGCAGTGTCTCTCTGCCTCAGCCTTCCACTTCCCAGAATTCTCCTCCTGGTCCCGCCTATACTTCCTGCCTGGCTACTGGCCAATTTATTAACCAATCAGACAACACATTTGCCATACAGAACATCCCACAGCACTAGGTTGCAGTGGACTCCAGTGTCGGGTATACACTTTTGCTAAGTGCTAAGGGCCACATTCGATCTTTGGTCTACGTGTATTACTAAGAACCATGGTGGAACAGCCAGCACAAACCCAGTGTGCAGATAGGCAACACTTGTCACAGCTGTTTGGACCTCATAGGAGAGTGAGTGTGCAGGTTCGTGTGTGCTCTGTGATCCCAAGCTCAAGGCTGTCCCAAACCGAGGCTGTAAGACCCACTGGAATGCTAGGTGGCTGCGCTCAGAGTTTCTTAATCCCTGTGTTGGTCACTCCTTGCTGACTGGCCACAGTGCTGTGGAAGTCAGTGACACAGCAAATATGCTCGCTGGAGTTGTGCCACTCAGGGCCTTTGTCAGCAGCGTTGAATCTTAGGCTCTGCTGTGGCGACTATGAAAGGATTCGAGCCAAGGACTTGGGAGCCGAACAAAGCCAAGCCGCTTTTAAGGAGGAAGTTTTGACATTTACCAGATAGAGTGGTATTTCTTTCTTTCTAGACTAGAGGAGTTCCTGAGTGAATTTCTGCTGAAGAATGATTAGAGAATTTACATGATAATCACAGAGGCTTAGTATGCCTATGATATCCAATTCAAAGACCACACTTACAGTTATATTGTTGAGGCTGGAGAGATGGCTCGATGATGAAGAGCACTGGCTGCTCTTCCAGAGGTCCCAGGTTCAATTCCCAGCACCACGTGGCAGCGCTTAAACATCTGTAATTCCATTTCAGGAAATCTCATAACCTTTTGTGTCCTCTGAAGGCATTGCATGTGAGTGGCGGTACATAGACATGCATGCAGGCACTCAAACACATAAAACAAAAACAAAAGTTTAGAAACTTAAAATTGTATTGTTGACAGTCTCAGAACACAAATAGAAAACTACAATCCAAACCCTTAGGAGATGGAGGCAAAAGAATTAGAGGTTCAAGGTCATCCTAAGCTATTTAGTGAGTCTGAGTCCTAAGTAGAACCCAGGCTTCCTGCGTGCTAGTCAACTACTCTACCAACTGGGCTATGTCGCCAGCCCAGGCTTTTCTTTTTTGATCTGCCTGTCCACTGTGTCATTGCTGAGGCATAATGACAGCCATTTATTAGGAATGGGATTACTTTGACTAAAAATATAAAGAAAACTCGTGAAAAGTGAACCTGGGGGTAGTCTTCGCTGTGGTGCCGACATAACTAACACCACCATTTTTCTTTTAGGAAGCTCGGTGGACATGCTGTACAGCTTTGCGAAGTGCTCAGGGTTAGACCTGATCTTTGGTCTAAATGCGTTACTAAGAACACCAGACTTGCAGTGGAACAGCTCCAACGCTCAGCTGCTGCTGGACTACTGCGCTTCCAAGGGTTACAACATCTCCTGGGAACTGGGCAACGGTATGTACCCAGGAACATCTCACTCATAAAGGAATTCCCTGCACTGTTCCTTTTCCTGTTTTGATATCCTTTTCCATGTTAGTAAATAGACTTCTCCCTAGACACAGTCATGCAGCTGCTCAACAGTGGAGCTGCATCAGTAGAACGCTCCTCTGAATCCCAGAGCCTACTGATAATCCCAGTTTAGGGGCGTGTGTGTGTGTGTGTGTGTGTGTGTGTGTGTGTGTGTGTGTGTGTG